CCCCCCCCCGCCGCTCCTGCACTCACTCTCTCTCTCAAAATAAATAAACATTGGGCGCCTGGGTGGCGCAGTCGGTTGAGCGTCCGACTTCAGCCAGGTCACGATCTCGCGGTCCGTGAGTTCGAGCCCCGCGTCAGGCTCTGGGCTGATGGCTCAGAGCCTGGAGCCTGTTTCCATTTCTGTGTCTCCCTCTCTCTCTGCCCCTCGCCCGTTCATGCTCTGTCTCTCTCTGTCCCAAAAATAAATAAACGTTGAAAAAAAAATTTAAAAAAATAAAATAAAAAAATAAACATTAAAAAAACACTTTTTTGTGTTCTCTTGAAACCTTTGCACATCTCAAGGTCATGGAAATATTCTTGTATGGCGTTTTTGAAAAATCAATTGCTTTACCTTTCACATTTAGAGCTATAGTATTCCAGAATTTTTTTCATATGAAGTTAGGGTTACATCATTTTTCATAAAAATATCCAGATTTTGCACTATCCTTTGAGAAGTTTCATTCCCCTTTGTTTTTGAAGTGTCATTTTGTTATAAATCAGGTGACCATAGGTGTATTCAAGACTCTTCTTTCCATTTTTCCCTTAATTTATCCTGCAATACCATATTTTCTTAATTACTATAGCTTCATAATAGTCATTATTATTGGGGCATCTGGCTGGGTCTGTCAGAAAAGCTTGTGACTCTTGATCTCAGGGTTGTGAGTTCAGGCCCCATGTCAGGTATAGAAATTACTTAATAAATAAATCCTCCACTTTCATTCTTTTTCTTCAAGATTGTGTTGGTTCTTCTTGTCCCTTTGCATTTCTATATAATCTCTAGATTTGGCCTGTCAATTTTTACAAAGAAATCTGCTGAAATTTTGTTTAGAATTTTATTCCATCTATAGACTGGGGATAATTGACATATTCCCAACATTGAGTCTTCCAACTATTGAAAATTATATATCCTCTATTTATTTAGATCTTTAACCTTTCTCAATATTTTATAGTTTTTCAGTATATAAGTCTTACACATATTCTGTTAGTTTCTAGATAATTGATATTTTTAAACTATTGTAAATTATACTTAAAATTTTTAATTTTAGGATTTTTGTTACTATCAGAAATACAATTTATATTTTATGCTACCTTATAACCAGTGGAATTGCTAACTAGTTTATTTATTAAGCCTAATCATCAAGAGATTCTTTACGACTTTTTATATGTACAATCATGTCATTTTTTTTTTTTTTTTTTTAATTTTTTTTTTTTTCAACGTTTATTTATTTTTGGGACAGAGAGAGACAGAGCATGAACAGGGGAGGGGCAGAGAGAGAGGGAGACACAGAATAGGAAACAGGCTCCAGGCTCTGAGCCATCAGCCCAGAGCCCGACGCGGGGCTCGAACTCACGGACCGCGAGATCGTGACCTGGCTGAAGTCGGACGCTTAACCGACTGCGCCACCCAGGCGCCCCACAATCATGTCATTTTTTAAAGTTTATTTAGAGAGAGAGAAAGAGAGAGCACAAGCGGGGGAGGGTCAGGGAAAGGGAGAGACAGAATCCCAAGCAGGCTCTGCACTGTCAGCACACAGCCTGACATGTCGCTCAAACTCATAAACATTGAGATCATGACTGGAGTGGAAATCAGGAGTCAGATGCTTAACCAACTAACTGTCACACAGGCGCCCCATAGTCTGAAAACTTTTGGTTGTTTAATTGATTATTTAATCTAACCACAATTGATGTAATATTTGATAATTCTCTATTTATATTTACCATCTATTTTTTTCTATTTGTCCCTAAAGTTTTGTTATTTTTAGACTATTCAGATATTTGTTATTTTTCATTTTCCTTCACTTAGTTTTTTAGTTAATTTTGTAGTAATTATCCTACAGATTAAAGCATGTATCTTTGATCTACAAGAGTCTGATACAAACTTTTTAATTTTACTACTTCCATGATCATTCTTAGAAGCTTAGAACTCATCGACTGTATCTATATCATCTTCCCCTTTACATTATTGTTGTCATGAATTAAAATCTTGTATATATTTTAAATCTTTTAAGAAACTGTTTTTGCCTCGTATAATCAATATTAATTTATATTTATTCTTCCTGTTGCTCTTCATTTCTTCCTGCAAGTCTGATTCCTTTAGGACTGTTCTCCCTCTACCCAGTGAATTCTACTAAAAACATTTGTTTTGGTGCAAATGTGATTATGATTAATTCTCTTGGTTTTTATCTGTTTGAAAACTTTATTTTTGAAGGATATTTTCTGATGATAGAAGAGTGCTAATCTGGTTTCTTTTTCCCACGACCTTAAAGACCTAATTTCTTTGTCTTTTGGTTTCATGATTTATGTTGAAAAGCCAGCTCTCCATTTTATTGTTGCTCCTTTAAGAGTAATGTGTCATTTTTATGTGGTTGCTTTTAAGATTTTCTCCTTGACGCTGGTCTTCAGCAGTTTTCCTATGATATTTCCTAGTTGTATTTTGTATTTTATTTCTCTCTCTTTTTTAAAATTTTTTAATGTTTATTTTTGAGAGAGAGAGAGACAGACAGACAGACATGGGAGCATGGGAGGGGCAGAGAGAGGAGACACAGAATCTGAAGCAGGCTCCAGGCTCTGACCTGTCAGCACAGAGCCCAACACGGAGCTGGAACTCATGAACCGAACCATAAGATCATGACCTGAGCCAAAGTCAGAGGCTTAACCAACTGAGCCACCCTGGTGCCCCTGTATTTTATTTCTATTGACTGGGTTTCCCTGAGCATTTTGAGTGATGAAGGATTTGTACAAATTCTTCATCATTATCTCTTCAAACATTGCTTATTCTTCATTCCTAGTATCTCTTCTCCTTTTAGGATTACAGTCCTATGTATATTAAGAGTTTTTCATTATGTCTCATTTGTCAATTATGTTCTTTTCTGTATCTTTCTTTCTTTTTTATATGAAATTTATTGTCAAATTGGTTTCCATACAAAACCCAGTGCTCATCCCAACAGGTGCCCTCCTCATTGTCCACCATCCACTTTCCCCTACCTCCCACCCCCCAACAACCCTCAGTTTATTCTCAGTTTTTTAGAGTCTCTTATGGTTTGCCTCCTTCCCTCTCTGTATTTTCCCCCCTTCCACTCCCCTATGGTCTTCTGTTAAGTTTCTCAGTATCCACATAAGAGTGAAAACATATGGTATCTTTCTCTGTATGACTTATTTCACTTAGCATAACACTCCAGTTCCATCCACGTTGCAACAAAAGGCCATATATGTTTCTGTATTTTTCAATATTTTTTCCTATGCTGCTTTTTGGATATTTTATATTGGCCTGTCTTTCATTCATTAATCCTGTATTCCTTTATATCTATTAAGTCATAAACTACCTTAATAGCTTTTAATTTCAGATATTATATTTTTCTGTTCTGTAATGAATTTCTATTTTATTTAAAAAATTTTTTTTTTCAACGTTTATTTATTTTTAGGACAGAGAGACAGAGCATGAATGGGCGAGGGGCAGAGAGAGAGGGAGACACAGAATCGGAAACAGGCTCCAGGCTCTGAGCCATCAGCCCAGAGCCCGACGCGGGGCTCGAACTCACGGACCGTGAGATCGTGACCTGGTTGAAGTCGGACGCTTAACCGACTGCGCCACCCAGGCGCCCCTGAATTTCTATTTTAAATATCAATTCTCTGGTGGAATTCTCTTTTGTTTTCTCTATTCTTTTTTAAAAAATTTTTAAAAATGTTTTTATTTATTTTTGAGACAGAGAGAGACACAGCATAAGCAGAGGAGGGGAAGAGAGAGAGGGAGACTCAGAAGCTGAAGCAGGCTCCAGGCTCCGAGCTGTCAGCACAGAGTCTGACGCGGGGCTCGAACTCACAGAGTGTGAGATCATGACCTGAGCTGAAGTCGGACACTTAACCGACTGAGACACCCAGGTGGCCCTATTTTCTCTATTCTTTACAATCTATTAGTCATACTTATTTTAACATCATTGTCAGTAAATTCTAGTATCTGTTTGTATTGTCTGTTTTTTCCCTAGGTTTTTTTCATGTCAACCAGTTTTTTGTATGTCTTCCTAGTAGTTTTTTTATTGAATTCTCAATATTTATGTAAAAAGCTGTCCAGGATCCAGATGATATTATCTTTTTCCAAAAAGAGTTCACCTTTTCCCATTAACTTGAATCATGTGAAATCCAATTTCCTTAATCCAAACAGGCACTGTAATTAGTCAAGCTGCTTTGCAGTCCTAATAACACCTAACCCTCCAGCATTACCAGTTCAGAACTTAGTGTACTGTCCACAGTCCCTTCCCATGGTAGTTTCTAAACCCTAATCTTGATGCATCAAGACTATCAAAAGTGCACTCTGCTATTCAGCGATTTTTTTTTTTACTTAGGTTTTTAGTCTTCTAAAAGACTAAATGGAATGTCCCTGAGTTTGACAAGTATCCTGAGGGGAAAACTGGCCTTGAGCTTGAATCTTCAGTCTGCGGAAGGCTAATGAATGTGCTCTACCCCTAGCAAGAGCCTTTTGTCTGTTCTAAGACAAATTTCCTCAGGGCAAATCGACTGCAGAAGTCAGTTCACAACTAGAGGATTCTCCTTTTCAGAAATCTTAGCCCTTTCTGTTCTTATTATAACACCTGCTGTCTGTTGCTTCAAACAGATAATTTCTGAATTTTAACGAGTTTTTGTGGTTGTTTCTGCCGTTAGATAATACATCCAGTCTACCTGTAAGCAGAATTCCACCAAATAAGTGTATAACTTTTAACCTCAGGCTTTTTAAAATCTGTATTTTGTAACTTTGGTAGTAAAGGAAGAGGGGTCCTTAAAGTGGTTGTAAAGTCTTATACAATGCCTTCAGTAAAATTTCTGCCCCCAAAACAGCATATGTTAAACTGACTATATGCTGTGCCTAAAAACAGTGAAGTAACTGTAAAAGATGTATGTATAAGATAGAAGTTAGCTGAACCTATTGTGGTAATCATTTCACAATATGTGTAATTCAAAGCATCATGCTGTACACCTTAAATTTACAGTGCTGTAAATTATTTATCAATGAAAATTATTAATATTATTAATAATAAAATTATTTCTCAATTATTTATCAATGACACTGGGAAAAGTATGCACTTATAACAGAAACATGTGAGAAACATAAAATTGAAATGAACAATATTATCAAGATATTTGGCCTCCATTCTTTATTTTTGTTTTGCAACAATAGAACTGGCCAATTTTTCATACTGTAGGCATTTGTGCAAGTTATTTGGATCATATTTACTACTAAATTGTAATGACTGATTTTCAAAGTCTGGTGTAAGGAATGACCTATGCTTTATGGTAAAGAATGATCTGTGCTTTATGAATACATACAGAAATCCATAAAATAATATACAAAGTAATTCACAAATTTACCTACAAATTCATAAAGGTGGGTTCTGGGTGTTTATTTAGCCAGTCTCATTTGGGCAATTATACAATTGGGAATTTCGTGACATAAACAAAAAGAGAGAAAGAGGGAAAGTCAACTTGGATTTTCATAATGGTGAAATACACTGGTGAAAGCTTCAGTCAGATTTCTTGTCACCATACATAAAGCTATTCATATAATAGCTAATCAGTAGTTGTTAAAGTTGACTACCAAATTTATGTCCATATATACTTGTGCTTAATTTTGTTCTCATTTTTATTGCTTTCTCATTTCAATTTTTAGACTGGATGAAGGCTAAAAGTTATGTTTCAAGAATAACATAACCTTGGGGGCGCCTGGGTGGCGCAGTCGGTTAAGCGTCCGACTTCAGCCAGGTCACGATCTCGCGGTCCGTGAGTTCGAGCCCCGCGTCAGGCTCTGGGCTGATGGCTCAGAGCCTGGAGCCTGTTTCCGATTCTGTGTCTCCCTCTCCCTCTCTCTCTGCCCCTCCCCCGTTCATGCTCTGTCTCTCTCTGTCCCAAAAATAAATAAACGTTGAAAAAAAAATTAAAAAAAAAAAGAATAACTTAACCAGTAATTCCCCTTTTTATGTCACTTTACCCTTAGAGAAAAAAGTAATTCAAGGTTAATAAGTACAAGTAATTAAATTCCAGTAGAATGACCCATGAGATTTAAAAATATTTAGACTATGAAACAGACTCTTTAATTGCTCGCATTGTACCAAAAGTTCAACTAAGAGGTCTTATACTTATATCCATATAAATTTAGTTGGAAACCACATGATCAGCTTACTAGGCTTACTGAACACAACATAAAACAATGACACTTAAGATAAGTTCATTCTTATTTAATTTCTATTTCTGTTCTTATTGTCCAAAATGGCAAAATAATGCTTATTTCTTACAATGAAAGTTTAACATAAAACTGATAAATTGAAATAAAATACCTCAGAGCTACATTGAAGAGAAGATAACTTGGACATCAAAGGTAAATAATTATTTGGTTGATAACAGATGTTAATGTCTGCAAAGTAATTTAAAGTGAAAATCTTGTACCAGCCAATACTCAAACCTGAATAGGATAAGAGAAACTCAGAAGAAATTCTTTCTTTTGAAAGGTGAGGAGAAGCTGCAGGAAAACCAAAAGAAATATATATTATTCTTGAACTTTTATTTACAGAGGAAAAGGAAGGACAAGGAAGTAATGATGCCTTTCCTGTTTTGCATCCTTTGAAAGGATCTAAGGTGTATTTAAGGTTCTGAAATAGTTATAAAGGATTTTACGAAGTAGTGACTTAGTTTTGTTTAGTGAACCTGATACCAAATTATAGAAGATTTTCTCTTCAATTATTTATGAGAATAATTTTTAAAATTTATTATTAGTATTTATGGAATACATACAGTGTACCATGTAAGTATCGATCAAATACATTTTTTAAATTCTAGCATACATGGTGTGCACAACAGAAAGTCACAATTTTAGTGTATTAATATTTTAATGGAAGTGCATGTTTATGTACAATCTGAGAGAAACAAATAAGTTATATGCTTATGGTTATTCAGGGAGGAGCCTGGAGAGCAATGAACAAAGCCTAGGTATTTCAAACACTCTACAGATAAAGTTAACGGTAAAGACAAACACCACAAATATAGAGAAATGCATAATTACATAAAAGCTTTAAGACATTAAGAAGTCGATTTAAATAAAATTTCTTCTTATGCTACTTGAGTAATTTAGTGTTATGGAAAGATTAATCACCAAGAGAAGGTCAAATATGGAGAATATACATACTTAATCAGTTAACTAAAAATGCCAAGTCCAATGAATATTAATAAAAGAAAAATTTGGCACAATCAGGGACACACATAGGTTGGAATAGAGGTGTACATATTTAGACAACAAATTTTTTTTAAAAGAAAGGTGTTGCAATGGGAGTTAGGTTGACCAAAATTAAGGAGAGGCTGACTTGACCAAATACAATCCTTAACTGAATACAAAGCTATTCCTGCAGTTGGGGTTTTCTTTTATTTCTCTCTCAGTGTCTTCAACCAAGAGGTTGGGAAATATCGGCTTCAGGAATTTGAACTCACCAGTCCTAGGGTCTCCCGTCAGACACACGTCATACTGGTAGCTCTGGGACAGCGTCCCCGCGCCGCTGACGTCCACCAGGTGGCCCGGAAAGTGGCCCTCAGGCCCCGAGCAGCGAC